TGCACATGCGCAGTAAGTAACGTATCTCTTTCGCGAATGCATCCGTAAGCCCTAGAGTAGACAAGACAGACTTAGTTGCGCGTCCGCAGCAGCCGTACGGATGCATCCTGCCAGCCAGTTGCAATGAGAGGCAGCGTCCGTACGTCGGCTGCGGACATGCAACTAAATCTGCCTACTTTTAGTTGGGCGTACGTAATCGAGCCCACGTACGCAGCACAGCCACGGGAGAGAACTGCGCATGGGCAGTACGTAACGTATCGATTCCAGAGATGCACGCGTACGCCCGAAACAAGACGCTGCGTACGTAAGGCAACGCTTACTACGTTACGTTTTCACGAGACCTTGATGAAAACAGAACGAGAGTATATGGGGGCAGCAGTGGCGTTCGACGCAGAAAGCAAGGGCGGACGTGATGCGAGGCACGTGTACTTCGCAATCAAAGGCGATGTTTTCATGCCAGACAAGGTAAATTCGAGCGGCGCATTCCGGCATCCTGATGATTCTGAAGGAATTGCCTGGTGTCTCACGAAAATCATCAAGAATTGCCTTCGATAGCTTGTGTGCAGGAACGCGTCTTTTTCTGTCGAGCCTCTCGGCGAATAAACCCGTAAATAAAATGGCACTTGGTACGTACTTTTATTCATGGTGCAACATAACACGCCTTGGACGTAGTCGTAAAGCCATGAATACCTAGAATGACACCACTTGCTGCTGCAGGGTACGCTAAGCCTCATCCGCAGCAGCCCTGGATAGAACACTGGGGTTGATCCAGTGTGGCCGTGCCCGATCAGACGCATTGCGCAGTCAAGTTAAAAGCGACTAAGGTGAACGTGCACATTCGGTGCGCCTAGGAACAATGCAAAAAATCTACACAGCAAACGCCACGGCCTGACTTGTACGCTGGTGGCCCTCCCCCTGGCCACCAGGTTGTGTTTCGCGCAGATCACAGAGGCCACGTTGTCACTGAGACCTGGCATACTTCTAGCGGGGGGGGGGGGGGGCGGTGATAAGCATTCCGAACCCTTGCAGTTCGATTACGACTTATCTAGTTGAGTGAAACGCACCAAGGTACTATCAGTGTCAAATGAAACCAGAACAGTGGCAAGCTTTGGCGATAGTGTAGTGAACGAAGTCCAGTTATCACCAAAGACATGCGCGCGCATCCTGTTCGGCAGCTCTGCCTGTGCATAGCGATAAGTGGACGACATTCACTAAACCACCGCAAAGGCGTGCGTGCCACTGTTCGGATTTTATTTGACGCTTATAGTACGTTAAACTAAATGTGTCGTTGCACTCTTCACTTCCAGCGCACAGAACCTAATTTTCACAGCGTACGCATCTTCTCCATACGCCCAACTAAAAGTGTCTATTAACACCTGCCGCACGTAAACGTAACGATACATAGCGGGAGCTAAAATCATGCTTGTAAGATGTTTGTTGAAAGAGCAGCCAGATTACAAGATGACAAAGAAAATAAAACTGTGGATCTAACGATACGGTTAAACTCGGATGGACTTGGACGCCAACAGCCGTTATCGAAGCCGCTACCATACAATCGCACTAGGAACTCGTTATCCGATTCATTTCCCATATGACACGCCTAGTTGAACGAAACGCCTCTCGCTACGGGAGATGCGGTAAACTAAACATGTTCTTGATTACTTCACTTGCAGCCTACGCGCTGGATCGTGCTGCGTACGTGAGATTGTTGCGTACGCCCGAAATGTGCATGTCAAAGAAAAGAAAGCGTCAATACGTTCACCACGATCAATTTCTCTTTACCATGAACGTGCTCTGCAGAGCACAGTGACAACTACGGAAATCAGATTTTTTGAAAAGCGAGTTTTCAAGTTTTCAAGCAATTTTGACTGTGGCATCGACGAGACAGGCCCGGAGGGTTCGGCACAGGTACTCGCTTCTGAAGCTGACCTGTGGCATTTAATCATTCACTGCGTAACTTAAACAGCAGACACCTGCCACTGTGATGGGCATTGGCCAGAAAATGGGGAATCATATAATCTGATCCCCCTTGATGTTCATCATCTTGTGTCTTCTAACTGAAGCTGCGCAAAGTGGCAGCAGACGAAAGACGGGGAAAGAAATGCAGACAGGTAAGATGTGTGACGACTATTGTTTGATGAGTCCGATGCGTGTTGTAGTGTGATAGAAGTTAGAAGTGGTCGACCCGAGAGACAGACAGATGACCGGACAAATGGACGCTTCGCCCACTCATCTTCATACACTCTGCGAATACTGTACATTTTTTTTGTTTTCAATGTGCACTAAGGCGAGAATGCTTCGTGCTGTTTTTTCGTACTGTCGTCAAAGCGTGAGAGGTTCGCGTATTTGTTTCCATGAGCGTGCCATGGTTATTATCAGTGCCATATTAGTTAGCAAGAATTGAATTTTACATCCAAGAAATCCGAATACAAGGGGCGACTGATTCGAAGTAGCATTCACCACCTTATAGTGTTACCGTATCAGAAAGGACGATTCATCTGCGTACGCTAACTGCAAATTTAAAGAGATCGTAGATAACCTCTTATGCCACTGTTTTCAGCTTGACCAATATCTCAAGGCTCTCCAGTGTGCCTTGAGCTGACTTGGAAATTGACGTTTTACTGAATAAAGGAATAAAGGATATCGAGAGCCCTCAGAGCCCATCAGCCATTTGAGTCCTTCACGAATGAGCTTCGCATCAAGTTCTGTTTTCAAATCTGTGGTGGCTCAGATTATTGTTCAAAAAGTGAACCCGTGTGAATTTCAGCATGTCTGTTGTGAAGTAGATAATAGCGTGATTTCGACAACCTGGCTTTCTTTGGCGTGGGAAAGTCGCGGCTTGAACCGCCAATCAATCAGTCAATAAATAATCAATCAATCAATGACGTTTTTATTTTTCGTGCTTTGTTTACACTATAAAGCGAAAAGAAGTAGCAAACAGAAAAGCTGCTTCGTCACAGCTTGAAAGAGCTCCTTGCATCCATCCATAAGATACATACAGCAAAATGGATAAGCAAAAAATAAGTATAATATAGAACATTTGTCTTCAATTTACTCTTCATTGGCCTGACAGAACGTCTGTGTAGCAGAGTACGAAATGAAGGAATAAATACATAGGAACAATAAATAAGAACAGCGATAAAACTACAGTATGACGAGTACTTACCTATACCACAAGTTCTGGCATACACCAATTTTTTTCATAATACTAATAGGAATAATAAAACACAGTATAAGCAAATGACAAAAATTTTCGCCATTGACTGAACACACTTCAGTAAAACCTTCGTGCTGCAAATCTCCCCACAGATATTCCTATCATCCGTAATTCGTCCTCCAGAAAGCGTGGAAAATTACGATGCGACAAAAAAAGCTTGCCTTAAATTTTCATTTATTGTTTTTTATGACCGTGGCAACATCAGGGAGAGCTCTCAATGATTGTCAGTTACGTTTTTAGATGTCGGCACTCATAACTCTTCTGAAAAGTAGGCGGTCCATACAGAGGTGTTTAAATAAAATAATGAGCCAGCTAGGTCCAATGTTACCCGTGACAGAAGCAGCCTCCCAAAGTTGTTAATGTTTTTTTTACATAACACCAGAGTACTGCGGCCAAGGTAATGACAGAAGCGCTTTTAAGCTACAGAGCAAGACCACATTTCTATACCACGGCCCTAAGTTATCGCCACATTAAATCAGCACCCCTGCAATCATAATCACAGTGGATTGAACTATTAAGCCGCTGTATGGGGCAAATCTTGCGCCCCCGTCCTCTTATGACGAGGGGGGGTGCCGCCCCCCCCCTCTCTTGCCTCTTTCGTGCGCAAGCCTATGGCAGCCCATACCAGCTCGACCAACTCCGAACAGTCTACCAAGCCCACGGTGCGGGCACTATGCTTGGCCTCCTGGTGCCAGCCTGAGCTCAAGGTCCACTTTTTTGCAGCGCCTCAATAAAGTTATTTTTCCAACTCTGTTCAGATCAAACATGGCGCCGCTGTAAACCAAGCTGTATATCTTTGGTGTCCACTAGCACCATTTGAAACTCGTTTAAAGATTCTTTATGTATCGACTTTGAAATTCTGCACAAGACTGCAACGACCTCGGCCACATTGTTATGTCAGGACGGCTCTGTATATAGTGGCCGTTGCCTCGTAACCAAGTTACATTCAGTTCAAAACAACTGTTAAGAGCCAATAGAAATCATACTTACTGTGAAACACCACCTTCATATTCTTTTTACCTTTTTGTCTATCCCACGCGTAGTACCTTTTTGAATCCTTGAAGCAAGAATTAGAACGTGATATACATCTTTGGCTTCACGAGCCGTATCCAAGATATGATTATGAGACACGCAGTAGTGCTTGGATCCGCAAATTGAGTGTAACGCTTTCTGGCATGGAAAAGTACTTGGGCCTCATCTCCATTTGAATACGACCGTGACAGCCGCAATCGAACCTGCGACCTTCGGGACAGCAGCAGAGCGCCAAAGCCATGTATCACAACGGTGGACTTGAGGTACGAGTTGAAGAAACGGGACGTACATCTGCTTTCTTATTGCAACGAATCAATCAAAAGAAACAACGATGATTTCAAATATAACTTGCTTCATAATTTTCGCACGTTCTTCAAATAACTTGCAGTCATGATGGTAATTTGGTTCATGCTCAAGAGTGCAGGGTGTGCACGAAAAGGCGGCCGCATGGAAGCGATCCAAGAGCTTGAGCTTTGTTGTTTAGGTACTTCCGTTGCTTTCTCAGACCGAAGATCATGCGCCGTATGGGCCATATTCTGCGATTTTTTGTACATATTTTCATTGATTTCTTTCTTTCGCAGTACGCCGCGCGCAGATCTCGCCGATAAGACGGCAAAGAACAATTCCATGACGCAATGGCGCCACAAGATGTGGCTCATGTGAGCGCATGTGTTAATATCGGAAAATCACGTTAAGAAATGTATACACGTGGGCTACCCGTCTTCATTTTTCATTCGCTGCCGGTCACGCTGCGCATTCTGTAAACGGCAGTTCGTCGGCGCCATGTGGAATGGCTTGCTTCAAGCATGGGGCATGCGATAGCCGTAGTGCGTATGAGTCACGTTTCCACCTTTTCTTTGTGTGTGTGTGTGGACTTTACCTGTGAAGTTTACCTAGACTTATGGTACTGCGCACCACAAACAACGTCGCCTGACGTTGGAGGACCATGGCAAGCTCCGTCTTTGGCATAAAATTGGTGAGCCCCCTATCGCGACAGGCCGGCAAGGTGTTGCGGCGTTGTTTACCGACCACCACTCGCTATTGATTCATCGTTGAAACAAAGTTAAAGGTTTTGTGGTGTTTTAGCGAGCGGGTTCCTTGAACAGTGCCACCACGGGTCCATCTCCCTGAGGCACAGAGCAGGCTCTGCTGGCGGTTAGCCAGGTAGCTCAGTTAGGGCTGTGCGCCTTCCGCGCAGGCCTGGCATTTTTTTCTTCACTCGTGTCGTTCACTCACATTACTTCACTCGCGTTGGTTCACTTGCCCATTATAGCTGGAATTTTTGTCCTGGTTACGCGATCCCTTTGCAGATGCTGAACCTTTGACCTGTTTATTTTGAAGCTTGAACTTGGCTGCCAGATAAAAGTGTACATGGACCAGCCATAGCTTCGCGCTCAAGCTTATACGTGAGACGACTTTTTGTATTTTTTGCGCATGCTTTCATTTCCTGAGAAGTCTTGCTTTCATTCCGGGAGCGTTGACGTGGTGTACAGACGCGCCCCGTGTCACTACAAGAGGCCGTGCTCACTAGGGCGAAACGCCATTTGAAACCAAGAAGCCTCAGTTGCGTATATTCTGCATCATCATCGACAGTCTTCAAGGCGGACGTGCTACCGGTATTGCATCGAGTAAGCATGGCTTTTGCGTTCCTGTGAGTAAAACAGTGTGTGAAGGGCCGCCTTGCTTCCAGCTTTGTTATTCACAGCAGTCGTTCTCTGAATGGTTATCTTGTCCAAAGGTGCTGAAAGAGGGGCATCATGCACCGTATAGTGACTTGACGTCTTTCTCGTTGCTTTGATAAGGTCGGATTCGGAAACTTGGGCTCTGCAGTTGCCACGACCTTGTTGGGCACGTGCATTTTGTTATCATTTTCATTTCTGGCTGCCGCTTGTTGCTTTGCATCTGCGGGCGCCACGTGGTAGCTACTTTACAGTTAAAGCGCGCATATTTCTTCTTAAAATCTGTTGATTTGCCTGTTTTCTTCGTGTTGGTCTGATACCGTACTTGAAGAAATAACCGCTGCCAACTTTATGTTAGTTTAGTTAGTTTACTGATGCAGGCGCACAGCTTCAGTAACAGACTGGTGCCCGTACCTAATTGCGCTGTAATCGGTATATTATTGCGCAATGTTTACATTCAAAGGGGCTTTCTTATCTTCGATTGAGTTTTCCTACAGTGTTGTGCCCATAAACGCTAACAGTAACGTCAGAGGGTGGGTCTGCAATGTCAACTCTTCCTCTAAAATTACGGATCTTCAGATACGTGTTGATGTTAATGCCAGTCTACTTGGTCTGTTCGGATTCATGTCCTGTCAACATAGAAAAACGAACCCATAAACTTCTACTTTCGTTTCTAGCAAGGGTCTCGTTTTGGTAAACTTTGTGTCTTACACTTGAGTACGAAGTATTCTTAGGCGGCTGCCATTCCGTAAACATGACGCGTGCTTCGTGATGCCAGCAGGCCCGAACGTTTCCACTGCTGTGTCGTAGCTACCAGTGGCGCTGACTAACGGTCCCAGGTTTATATCTATATATCTATTCTATGAAGTGAACAAGAGGATTATTTCTGCTGTAGCTCACTTGGTAGAGCATCCGACGCATTATAAGGCCGTGGGTTCAATCCCTGCTGGTGCCAACTCTTCATCCACTTTCTCCTAATTTATATCGTAATTTACATAACATCCCTTATGTTTTACAAGTTTCTTGTAAGTTGGTTCTAATATTGTGTCCAACAAAAAGGACCTTTTAAGGTTCTCCTTTTGTTGCTTCGTTTTTTGATGAATTTTAATTTTTTGCACCATTCTCGCACGAATTGTGACCAACTGCCTTGAAATGGCAAATTTGTCGAAAGTTTTCTAAGGCGTTCGAAATGACATTCTAGAAAACACATTGGCCTTGTTCATCTAGGTACAGTGAATAATTCTAATGAGTAATCAACTACTGGACAGTTAGTTACTGACTTCCACATGAACAAAACAATAAATTCATGTTACATATGCCATTTATTTATTTTAGTGCATTTAGAGCAAGCTAATAGTTTCGACACTGTAGTTAGAATGTGGCTCTATTGCGCAGTCATCGAATAACGCCGTGTCTTTACTGAAGTGGTTGGCTGGAGTGTTACATAGCAAATAAGAAATACGGAGATGTTAAACGTTTTTCGTTCACAATATTGCAATCAGCATTGGTTTTTGTACTGCTCTTGCGCTCGCAGCTGTTTCACTAGCTTCACAAGTACCAAACTCGGTAGTACGCGACGCGAATGGACGGCATAGGTAATTAACATATCCAAACATGATTGTCACGACATGCGTGCCATGTAACAACATGACTACATGCCACACTCATTGTACGCTCGCGGCCGTCTCGCTAGCTTTAAAACGCCAAATTTGGTAATACGTGACGTCATTGTTGAATGGATGTTGAAGGTATGTTACTGGTGCAAACATAATCAAAAGATGCGTGTCTTGTGCTAACATGACTATATGCCACAGTCAAGGCGCCAATACATTTCGACGTGACGCGGTGCGCGCGCTTGCCGGCGTTCATTTCGTTGCGTCACGGCGGCGTTGCCAAGCCAGGAGCAGGTCCTGCCTCGCAGGCACGCGCCGCGTTGCGTTGCTTTGACGCATGCGCGTTTCAGCACGTCCGGCGTCATTCCGTCACGTAAAGAGGGAGACGCAGTGTTGTCTGGGTAACGCATCAGCATGAAATGCAGCATGTCGCATTTCGCGCCGGTTGCCATCGGGCCGTGTCGATAGACGCTGGTCGCGCCTGTCGCGACTGGCGTCAGACTGTAGTGATCGCGTATTGCTAAAGTAGCGTCGCTGTGCCTAGCGTGCGCATGCGTCAACGCTACATTGAAGTATTTGGGGCCCTTCATGATGCACTCGCGGCCGTTTTGCTAGCTCCACATATACCAAATCTGGTGTTACGTGATGTCAATGGAAGACGAAATATGACTGGTGCAAACATGATAATCCTCACCCGTGTGTCATGTAAGAACATGACAACATACCACGCTCATAGCGTGTTCAGGGGCATTTTGCTTGCCCTGCATATACTAAATTTGGTATCACGTGACGTGAATAGATGACGAAGGTAAACGATACATCTAAACATCATAATCAAGACACGGAAGTTATGTACACCATAATTCACGTCCACCTCGTAATTTTGGGCAGATTTTAAACAGATATATCAATCTTTCTCATTTGTGCTTCACATGTCATCGATTCCCTCTGTACGTAGGATGTGCCAGTTTTTTTAAAGAGCTCAGATTCACCTAATTATCACGGAGTTATTTCGCGCAACCTGGTATACCTGTCGCACGTTTGAATTCGTGAGTAAGAAGGGTAAGCTTCTCACAAAATGACCGCAGAAATTAGGGTTTAAGTAATGCAGATAGTTGCCTTTCCGTAGTCTTCAGTTCGCGTCATGTTCGCGTAATTTCTGCGTGACTGCTTGCGTTAATTGCACTGCCTTTAGCAGCTGTATTCGAAGCGACATAACAAGGTTATCTCGAGCAATAGAGAATACCGTAGCTGCACGCTTTTCCATTGAAACGAAGGAAAAACTTGGAAAAGCCATTCATAACGATATATCACATTTGTCCCTGCGAAGAGTTAAGTGCAAAGTTAAAAAAAACGTTACTGATGACCCTGTTCTTTGAATAAGGCGAATGATACATTAAAGTTGGCAGAACACTTTCATTATATTAAGCGATCACTTCATCCTCTTGGCTAAGTTTTCCCAATCTATACTGCTCTACTAATCACAACATTGCTTACAATTTTATAATGAATAAATTGCTGGTTTCGCACTTGCCTCTGCCTTTACATTGTATTCAGTCCATTAGATACTGATTAAAAATACAAAATTCCTCCCTTTCAATGTGTAACAGCGTGTATTGATTTCACTTTCACGTGGTAGTTTAAACTTGGTGTCAAAAGTAGAAACTGGTGTTCATTGGCAAACTAGTGTGCATCAGTCAAACAGATGCCTCGCGATTAACCGGTGGCTCCTTTCCCTTCTAGCGTGCCAACCTGTGAGTCTGGTGCATCTAATGGACAACCTCTTCGGTCCTCGGCATACCTCGTGCAGCCTTCATAATCCTCCTCAAGCCTCCTTCATAAAAGTGTTGGATCCCCCGATTTGCGGTCTGCAGTGACATGGTTAAAATTAACTAATATATTCTAGTTTACTATAAACATGGTCAAGTAAATTTTCTTTTTCTGGTGACTTCTTTCATAGGCTGTCTTTGCATATCGCCAAGCAATAATGAGACTTCGTGTATTGAAATACTCTGCAGCATTTGGGCTGATCATCTCTTGGAATCCTGTCGTAGCAGATCATGTTAAAGGAGTGTAGGAGGAATTTTGTAATCTGTGCAAACCAGACACTCACAGAATTGTATGTGTGACCAGACACTCGCAGCATTGTTGCATGTGTGGCCGGCCGGACACTCGCAGCATTGTTGCATGTGTGGCCGGACACTCGCAACATTGTTGCATGTGTGGCCGGACACTCGCAGCATTGTTGCATGTGTGGCCGGACACTCGCAGCATTGTTGCATGTGTGGCCGGACACTCGCAGCATTGTTGCATGTGTGGCCGGACACTCGCAGCATTGTTGCATGTGTGGCCGGACACTCGCAGCATTGTTGCATGTGTGGCCGGACGCTCGCAGCATTGTTGCATGTGTGGCCGGACGCTCGCAGCATTGTTGCATGTGTGGCCGGACGCTCGCAGCATTGTTGCACGTGTGGCCGGACGCTCGCAGCATTGTTGCATGTGTGGCCGGACGCTCGCAGCACTGTTGCACGTGTGGCCGGACGCTCGCAGCATTGTTGCACGTGTGGCCGGACGCTCGCAGCATTGTTGCATGTGTGGCCGGACACTCGCAGTATTGTTGCATGTGTGGCCGGACACTCGCAGCATTGTTGCATGTGTGGCTGGACACTCCCAGCATTGTTGCATGTGTGGCCGGACACTCGCAGCATTGTTGCATGTGTGGCCGGACACTCGCAGCATTGTTGCATGTGTGGCCGGACACTCGCAGCATTGTTGCATGTGTGGCCGGACACTCGCAGCATTGTTGCATGTATAGCCGGATACTCGCAGCATTGTTGCATGTATGACCGGACACTCGCAGCATTGTTGCATGTATGGCCAGACACTCGCAACATTGTTGCCTGTGTGACCAGACACTCGCAACATTTTTGCCTGTGTGACCAGACACTCGCAGCATTGTGGTGTCAGTGGTGGGTTCATAGGCGTCCGCACTGAGAGATGGGAGGATTGGGGTGCAAAGGGGTGGCTGCCTACTTAGTCACTTACGATGGTGGTAGGGTGCAGTCTACCTCCACTCACTGACTTATTGGGAGCGGGAGGTGCCACAACAAACCTTCGAACCTCCCCCATTCTTTCTTAAAAGTAACCCTGGGCATGCCTATGGCTATAGGTTGTACTACCTTTACGGTGTCAAAGCGGCATCGAGAGTAAATAGTAGACGCGCAGAAGACAGACTAGAAGGGAGACACAAGTGGAGACGGAGGTGCCTTGTTTATCTCTTTTCGGCTGTCATCCTTGCACCTATTACTTCGAACCGTTCTCAGTGAAACTTTTTGCAAGGAAATCGAATTGGCACCAGGGTAGCCTTGCTCAACGAAACCATTTAAGAATTTTCATACGTGCCGATCTGATCAAGAAATTTTTCACCAGACTCACTCGCATTCCTTGTAGATATGCATAGAACAGTCGGCACAGGTATGCAAACACATGAACATCGTTCTGCTGAAACGCACACATGCTTCCGAAATTTGTTACCAATGTGAGTGGGAACAACTGGGCACCTCCATACTTCCCCCCTGATGGGGAACTCTGCGCACGCCACTGGATAGGTTGTTCAAATTGCACCATGTTAAAGTGGCACCGGAAATGATTTGAAATATTACATGCAAAGATGACAGACAAAAAGATAGCGCGCCTCCTTTTCCGTGTCTGTATGCTAGTTTGCAGTCTTTATTGCACCTACTATTTCGAACCATTATCGGTGCCGCTTTGTCGCCTTTAAGGCTTAACAACTTACCAATAGCTTGCACATGGTTCCGCTTCAGGGGGAAGGGTGGAGGTGCCATGTTCTCTCACACTCGTAATAAATTACGGAAACATGTGTGTGTGTGGCAGAAAGATGTCCTTGCATTTGCATGCCTGTGCCCACTGTCCCATGTATATCTATCTGGTAGTCCTTGAACTAAGCCCCGCCGCGGTGGTCTAGGGGCTAAGGTACTCGGCTGCTGACCCGCAGGTCCCGGGATCGAATCCCGGCTGCAGCGGCTGCATTTCCGATGGAGGCAGAATGTTGTAGGTCCGTGTGCTCAGATTTGGGTGCACGTTTACCAATACCAGGTGGCCGAAATTTCCAGAGTCCTTCACTCCGGCGTCTTTCATAATCATATGGTGGTTTTGGGACGTTAAACCCCACCTATCAATCAATCAATGTCCTTGAAGTAATGCGGGTAAGTCTGGTGAAAAATTGCCTGATCAGATCAATACGTATCAAAATAAATTCCTAAATGGTTTTGTTGGGCAAGGGTACACTTGTACCAGTGCGATTCCCCAGCACAAAAGGCTCCTTGAGGGTCGGCTATCGTAACTGATCGTGAATGGCAGCCCCCATAATGGTGGGAAAAACATCTAAACCGACATTTCAGACGTGAGCTTCATGAAGAAGTCTGCCGGGACTTCATAATAGCTGAGAAATCTCTGACGAATAGGCCAGATTTCACGATGCTTCCGCTGTCACGTTATGGCATTCACGACACCTACCTTTCAGGAAGTCCTTGCAATGCAGTAATTGTGTTGACAGTGGCTGATCTATGCACAGGAGACTTTTTTGAAGAGTTGTAGGCGCTGATCAGATCAAGTCAATTCCCTAACAGACCAAGTCTCCCCATTTTACGGACCCTTTTTCTACACCTGCACTTTACAAGATTATTTTAGTACCTTGCGCTGCTTCAGAAATCATACTGTTCTGTACATGTGATAAAGTCACGTGCTATTTCATGCTTTTTGCCTGTTGATTAGATTCAAAAGACTGCATGTGCTTGCCGCTATCTTTGTATTTAGAATTTTATGAGTGCAACTTCTCATGCGAAGTACATTTACCTGGCAATTTAACCACTGAACTATGTCGTCGAAGTTGAGCATACTGGCGAACTTGAAGACATATGTTTATGGAACATGGATTCAGATGCGGAACTGAATTTCTACTGTTAAATATTGTAAGTTGCGCGAGATCGCAAAGGCCAAAAATAGTTACTGTTGATGGGCTAAGCATGCATTTTGCTTTCTGTAGTGTCTGCTGCGAAACTTTTTTTTTGTGTACCTAACAGAAAACTAAGCCAAGGAAAGCATGGGCGAAGTTATTTGCTCTACCACAGAGTAATTATTTAAAATACAACGTAAATAAATTGACAGAAACTAACCATTCCATCCTCGGGATCTAACTCCTCAACCTTCGAAGTACGCGTCTAATGCTATACCGATCGAACTTGGATGAGTGTCCCTGTCGACTTGGGTGTCTGTGCATGTAATCCCTAGAAATGTTAGCGAGCGCCACTTATGGGCAAGGTGGCGAGTGTGGAACATCTGCACCTTATGATGGCGCACGCGGTTCTCGAGACGGCTGATAACTAATAAAACCTTGTGTGCTAACCTAGGCTGATAACTCTACTATAAGGCGAACCATCCCCTTCGTATGAAAAAAGGTGGAATTATTTTCATAGGCTCATTTATTTGTTCAATTTATTTTGGTTGATTCTAACAATCAGCCCAAAGAAAGTATAGACGACATTGTAGTTTTTACATTTTGCATAACAATTACGGGGTTAATTTGCTGTTGTTTTCATTCTTTGTATCAAGTCGAAAGGATAGCTGTCGCCAAGTAACGGTGGCTACTCCTTCCTTTAATTTCTATTTATATAAAAAATAACGCGAATCAAAGTACGCAAAATCTCTCTGTCCATGGTATTTTAAGCCCAATGTTTTGCATTTACTTCCCATGCTCTACCGATTACAGAAAAAAGGCTCTACGAATTGCTGCCAGCTGCCTACGAATTCATTCGTAGGCAGCTGGTAGGCAAGGCAAGCAGAAATTTGACATTTTCTCAAACATTATGGTCCCTGTGATCTTGAGTTACTATGCCCACCTTGTGTATTTGAACAACACATAAACAAGAATTCTTTGCCCCGCTGCGGTGGTCTAGTGGCTAAGGTACTCGGCTGCTGACCCGCAGGGTGCGGGTTCGAATCCCGGCTGCGGCGGCTGCATTTCCGATGGAGGCGGAAATGTTGTAGGCCCGTGTGCTCAGATTTGGGTGCACGTTAAAGAACCCCAGGTGGTCTAAATTTCCGGAGCCGTCCACTACGGCGTCTCTCATAATCATATAGTGGTTTTGGGACGTTAAAGCCCACATATCAATCAACAAGAATTCTTTGTGTCCTTACAGCTCCTCGACCTTCATTATCATACGGTGGATTATGAATGGAAACGTGTGGTCAAAAATGAGTCGTCCTCGGGTTCCTGCCTCATGCTCGCCTTCTGGGGAATGCATCATGCAGCAAAGCCCATCAATGTGGCCTGTTCTTCTGCCTTCACTTCTTTAAGGGACTGCCTTCTGTGTAGCTGCTCCTCACTGCCCTGTGACGAATGGTGGACGAAGATTGCGCGACGGTCTGTATCTCACCTTGCCTTTTTGAGACATGCCAACCATCTCCGGATCCACCCTGAGGCCGATGAAATGCTGCGAAAACTCCTCAGGTCAGAGTACGTCAGTGTTATCGTACGTTGATGGGCTAATCTCAATGCTTACAGATAATACCGCATCTGCAAATGCTATGCTGATCAGCCACTAAACAGAGAACCGTGTTTTTAGTGACTGCCATAATGTTGGACACATTTGGTAAATTATCACAAGCGTAACGTTTCATGCATCGTTTTTCATGCTTGTATCTCACCACCAAATACGACTGCAGTGAAATCGTTGAACCCATTTGCACGTATTCCTTAGCCATAATAGAGGCGTTTTACGTTGTTATGTAGGGGCATATTGATGCTCTTTTGCTTTCAACTGCATGGAATGCTGCGCAACTTGGCTAAATCAATCTATCGATCTGTGTAACTGGGATGCTTCCTTCATGTGCGCACGCGTTTGCACGTGTTCTTGCCCATCTTACGCTCTTCCATTTCTCACATTCACTACTGAAACCGGTGCTCCTTCTATTTGTTCATGAGATTATTGTGCAGACGCGCTTGGCAGGTTCTACTTTGTCCAATGAAGCGATTCAGCTGAAGCATCGTTACGTGTGGGTAATATACTTCATTTCTTCAGAAGCAGTTTTCTTGTAGTATCCTGGTTAGAGAGAGAGAGAGATATAAAGATGCAAGGAAAGGCAGGGCGGTTAACCAGACGCACATCCGGTTTACTACCCTGCACTGGGGAAGGGATAAAGGGGAGGAAAAAGGTTGCAGAGAGATGAGAAGGTACACACAATCTCGAGTACAATCGGTGAGCACACACAGTCTACAGGCGGTCGCTCAGGTTTGTTGACTTTAGGTAAAGTAGCAGTGCTTTAGTTGCTTTCTGCGCAACTGAGGCAGATGCCCAAGATCCTAGTATCTTCTGCACACAAAATGGTCCGGGGTCAAGTTGATTCAAAACCATCCGGAGCTGGCATCGCTGTGTGTCGTAGCAAGCGCAGCTGCACAGGATGTGTTCGATGGTCTCTTCAGCTCCGCAGTAGTCGCATGTAGGAGTGTCTGCCATACCAATGCGAAAAGAGTACACCTTTGTAAATGCAACACCCAACCAAAGGCGGCATAACTGTGTCGCATCAGAGCGGGAAAGTTGTGGTGGTATCTTTAGCTTGATCGAAGGATCCAGTTCATAAAATTGACACCTTTGGAAGCTGGTAGACGACCAGAACGTGCGTGTGAGATCTCGAGCCAGCAGGTAAAGTTGTCTTGCTGCATCATTCCTTGATAGAGGAATCGGGACTTCACGGGTTCTTTCATGGGCTGAGCGGGCTGCATCATCGGCTAATTGATTTCCGGTAATATCGATATGTCCAGGCAGCCATTAATATATAATATCATGCCCTCGTGCTAGAGCTTCATGATGGCAATGTCTTATTTCTTGTACCAATTGGTCATGACTCCTCCTACGCATGGCAGACTGCAAACTCTGAAGCGCTGCCTTCGAATCACAGAATATGACCTATTTTCCTGGGCGTTCTTGAACGAGATATTGTAAAGCAGCCCTTATAGCAGCAAGCTCTGATGCCGTAGATGTAGTCATATGCGACAACTTAAACTTGATTGTCATTGCTGCAGCCGGAATTACAGCGGCACCTGATGAGCTGCTGGACGAGACGGACCCATCAGTGTATATCTGCGTTCGGTCTAAGTACAACTCATGTAATAATAGCAGTGTTGCTTGCTTCAATGCTACTCTGGAGTGATTGCTTTTCTTTTTGATTCCCGGAATTTCTGGACGTACTTGCGGCTGGTCGAGGCACCACAAAGGACATGCCATTCTCGCAGCTGGCGTATATTCTGATGGAATTCAGTTTAGGTGCTTGGCTATGACATCTGAAAACGTAGCACGTGGTCTTCCGGAGGGTAGAAGGGCCAAGTGGTGGTCAAGGACACGGCTAGCATGTCGATTGTGCGCTCTGAGGCAATCCACAACTCTATATGTCCTGACCGGATGGTCTTTGGCAAGCATGATTGTGGCATAAGTAGAAGCGCATCGGGGCAGTCCTAGGCAGATACGCATTGCCTGACCCTGCAAACTCTCCAATGAATGAATATTCGATTTGCAAGTGTTAGTCAGTACCGGCAAGCTGTAGCGCAATAGACCCAAAAATAGGGCCCTGTACAGCTGTAGCATGGAGGCCACAGAAGTTCCCCATGCTTTACCGCACAAGAATTTCATAATATGCACAATAGATTGCAGTCTCTTCTTCAAGTACGCACAATGTGGGCTTCATGAAAGACTTCTGTCGATTATTATGCCCCGGAAACGATGGGTCCGTGCATATTTTACACTCTGCCCATTGATGTAAACAGGGTATGGCGTCATTGGTTTGCGTGTAAACGCCATCAACGCGCACTTCACAGTTGATATAGTTAGGCCTTGTTTCTGAAGGTAGGCTGTTGTGAGGGTTGCTGCCCGCTGTATTCGTGCACGCACCTTAGGGCGAGTAACTGCAGCACTCCAGAGGCAAATATCATCGGCGTATATGGATAGCACACCGACTTTGGCAGAACCTTCACGAGACCAATGAGGGCAACATTGAACAATATGGGGCTTAAAACACCTCCCTGGGGTACTCCGCAGTAGGTGTAATGTTCAGCAGTTGTACCCTCATATGTTTGCACAAAGAAACCCCTGCCAGTGATATAATCTTTTATCAATTGAAACATTCGTCCACCAATGCCCATTGCTGCGAGAGAAGTGAGGATAGCATCGTGAGCTACATTATCATATGCACCCTTCACGTCAAGAAAGAGTGCCACTGATATGCGCTTGCGACTTTTTTCTTGTTGAACAAATGTCGATAAGTCAAGGACTCAGTCGATTGATGTGCCGCCCCGACGAAAGTCTGCCATGGTTAGAGAGCATCCACAGCATTTGTATGTGGTCCGCTGCTAACACTTGGTTACCTGGTTATGGTCCACGAGCTTCACCCAACTACCTGTTACATCTTTTAGGCTGTTTCTGATGGTATCGACTTTCGAACTTGGCAGTGCAGGTTGCGTGCTTTGGTCTTGCTTCGCCGGGCCGGTGAACATCTAAGAGCATCAATATGCCAAAGAGAGCACAACGCGACCGGAGGGTATGTGGGGGCGGGCCATAATCACCCAAAACAAAAAGAATTTTCGCTATGATAGGAGTTTGTTTGGACGTGCATGGCACGAAATGCTTGCCCCTTTTCATTTAGTTTCTTGTGCTCTTCTGTATGCTTTTGTAGAATACAAAGACACGGGCCCGAAGACATTAAGGACCGCGGGGTGCTTACGTACATTTAAGTCTTTAGTGTGTGGGTCGTGTCCCTCGTAGTGGTACGTTGCAGTAGTAGCCACACCTAGTAAACTTTAGCAATTGCTCACTAGATGGCGTTGTGTGTATGCCCCTGGAAATAACATCACTAGATAGCGTTAGTAATTTTCGTATAGTGGACGATCTGACGCTTCGCCCTACTGATCCACTCCGTAAGTATGCTTGGAATTTTTTTAATGAAGCTTCTTCCGGAGAAGTTCTAGAATATTCATTGTCAATTAGTGGTTCATAAGTACGTGTCGCATAGAGCCTTGTGATTGTCTTTAAGGGGCGTGTTTTTTTAGTTAGGATTTTGGGTGCGTTAGGTTGCCGCCGGAGCTAAACTTGCGACAAGCAGGCGATTGCCCCAACCAGTTGGTTACTTCTAAGCTATACCTGTCACATTGTTTGTGTAATAAAAATAAATGCAATGAATACATTTTTCTTAACCCTGTTGATCAATATGTAGTCGCATACAACTTGAGAAGACCATTTTGGCCTCGCCCAGATAACTGAACCACGACCGCTGGTCGCCACACGTTCATGCCCTCTGCGACGTCCTGAAACGGGAAAAGTGACTGGTTGTTTACAGCCGGTTAACATGCCCATTGGTACTGACTTGTGTGCAATCGCTTTTGAGGAAGAAATGCCGTTGACTTGTATCAGTCAGTTTAGTAAATGGAGCTGTTATAGTTATTGCCCTTATTAGTGAGGCATCGCGATTTTCAGAAGTAAAGAAGATTGTGTTTAATTTCTTTTTGTATGCTGCTCTGAACATTTATTGAGCACTATGATGCATCTACCATTTCAGTGATTTTTCTTCCCTGTGGCTAAGGCGTGTGGCTGCTTACATATGGCTTGTTCAATTGAGAGCATGTAACAGTGTGCAATACGTTCATTCTAATCCATAGTACTACCACATGCCGTCTTTGCCCAGTATTGCAAGTTCCTATCTAGCTTGCATATCTGACCTGTCTACATGTGTAGGTTTCTCAACAGATTCTTTGTCAAGGGACTTGTGCTGCTGTGTTCGTTTACAATATTTGTTCTACATTTTGCGGTTACTGCAATACATAAAAATAAAATGTACATTGTGTGTTACGTTTTCTTACTTGGCGTTCACTGCTGCTCCACCAGTCGAGTGCTTCTCTGCTGCCTTGACTCAAGCCTCATTGCTCACATGGTGTTGCTCTGCTACTCAGTGATAAAATAGTTTCCATCTTGTGAGCATGTTGCAATTGTCGTTCGAAACAAAGAAAAGTGCTTCCACAGATTAGTATTGGACAATGCGTGTGGATAGAGTCGTTTCGAGAAATATAAAAAAGAAGTGGGGGGGAAGCACTGGACGAGACTTTTGTTGATGCTGATGGTATTATCAATATACTCTCAAATCGGCCATCAGGGTAATCACTATTTTTTTATCATATCTACCCCCTTGTGTGGAAATGTCCGTTTCTTCCCCTATTGCTCAAAGGACTAATTGTATATGTTTGAAGAGCAAGCTTACAACTTCACATGCTGATGCAACCTCGCCATTTTGAATTGACATCTCTGCCGTGATGAGTTTGGGCATCCAACAATAGTCCCTTGTAAAACAGTAAAACACGTTTTTTTTGGACTTGGCGTACCTGAATACTCAGATTTTGCAGGTCATGTTTGATGACACGCAGCTCTTTCATACCTGCTGAAATTATCAAACTTAGATCCTTGCGTTCGAGCACAAAGTTGATGTTGGTTCACATATTTGTAACGCTCTAAAGGTTCCAAGAATACAACGTTAATAATGTTTAAAGTAGTTGAGAAGCAGATTAGGTGCTGGAAGTAATGTTTCATGAGCTGAAATGTCCCAGAATGCTTCAAAACCGTTGTCGAATGCCCGGAAAAGCCCTTGCAAAGGTAAGCGTCGCTTCTCATACTTACTAGATATTGACAGTTGGGAGCGCCGCCACTGGAGGGGTACTTGCCCCTCTTGGGACATGCCCAACTACCCCTTCTCCGCCGAATGAACTCGCTTGACTCTGGTCCCCACCCATCCAATAAAAAACATCCTCGTGTTGCCCCTGTAACCAACTAACCGAAATTGTTCCTTCGCGTTACAGGACATGACAAGAAGTTTATTGTAGTCCTGATGAAATGATATTTAGTGGAGCCGTACCCCCCCCCCCCTCCTATGATTCAAGTCGGTGACGCCACTCTCGAGGAAACCAGAAGTCGGAGCTCCGTCTGCATTGAGTTGAGTGTAAACAAAAAAAAAAATCAAATGGTGGTTTACTTTGTCATACATGTGTGCTCTTCTCTGGCACCTCGCAAACTTGTTAC